ATTTAGTATCCATGTAATTCTATTATAACCAATACGACCACAATTAATATAATGTAACAAAGGCACGATTAATCAGAGTATCACCAACTTTAATCATTAATGAATTTATTACTTTTGGTAGTGATCTCTTAGATAGATCAACATAAAAAATTTATTCATGTGGAATGCTTGTTACAATCTTGGTGTGACCATGTTGGGATCCACAAGTTAGTCAAAGTGACCATTACTGGTCAGCATGGGGGAGAAAAATGGCAGCAGAATTACTATTACTCATTTTTAGTAACTGAGTTATGATGCTTGAGCACACTGTGAGAATAGAGGAAAGAATATTTTGTATCTTTTAAGTAAAATACATAATAGTTCTTGCTACAAGTCTTAACAGAATGACAAAGGATGATGTGTTGGAAATATATATATATATATATTTTAAAGATTTTTGCCATAGACTGCATGTACTTTGCTATTAGTCACAGAAGAATTAAGAAAATAATTGGGGGGACCAATAGGTGGTGTAGTGGTTATGTTACTGGACTCCCACATGGCCAACCATGGTTCGAGTCCCAGACCTGGCAGCTTGAAACTCATGCTGGGTGTATATGCATGCCCCAAATCCCGAGGAGGATGGAGGAGAAGGGATTGTGGCGTGACCATACATACCCCCCTGAAGGGTGATTTCTTACTTTGTATTTTTTGGAGGAACCAGCAGGTGGCATAGTTGTTAAGGCACTGGACTCCCACATGCCCGACCACAGTTTGAGTCCTAGATCTGGAGGCTGGAAACTCACACCAGGTGCATGTGCATGTGTGCATGCCCAAAATCCCAAGAGGAGAATGGAGGAGAAGGGATTGCAGTGTGGACATACCCCGGGTGGTAATTTTTCACTTTCTCTCTCTCCATCTCTCTCTGGCACATACACACGCCCTATAGCAAAAATGTCAAACAAAAAAAAAAAAATAAAGACAAGAATTGGAGTGGAACATAACTTCACAATTAAGGCTGGAAACCAACTCAAAACCTAAATATCAGTAGTTGCAGAGGACTCTTGACATGTAAGCTATACAAAGCATAACTGAAGGGTAACAATAGAAATTTGAGTTAATGTCCTTGGTACCTTATTCAGGCTTTTATGCTGAGTATTTGTAATGGAAGTTAGTCTGCTGTCTAATTCTGATTATGTAATATATGTGTAGATGGCTTATCTATTAGGCCTTGCTCATTCTCTTTGTTAGTTTAAACATAAGGTTCCTATATTAGTTGGTAAAGTTACTTGTTACAATAGGGGAAAAGTTGACCACATTCTTCTAAGCTGTGTTTCTGAAAATACACAGAGCAGCTGATCAACGAAGTTCATTTTAGCACTACTAGGCTTTGAAAATTAATATAAATCCTGTCAGTTAAACATCTGGGTGTTTACAATAAATGACTAATTTAAGGACTTATAATTGCTCAGTGAAGTTTTTGGATTAAAAGGACAGTGTGACAGCTTCAGGCACCCACATATGGCTAGCTGTTCTTAATTTTCCACAGCTTTCCATTGTTCAAGAATTGTTTAAGCATAAAATAAACTGAGCTCCAATATGTGATGTATGTTCCATTAATACACCGGTAAATCCCGTTCCAGCTGTACTTTGATCAAAATTGAAGGGAAAGAATTCTAAGGATAGACCACACAGAAATATATACTTCAGAGAAGTTTATGCTGCTGTTTTAGTCTCTCTGCTTTATAAGTAGTAGTAATAAATATGAAACTGGTCTTTGGGGGTATGATGATAATTCTAAAGGAGGAAAAGAAATGCAAGAAAATATGCAAACATTTTTAATCCCTAAACTTCCACACTTGGCTTCCTCTGTACAAGGGTTAAAGCTGATAATTGCTAATTCCTTTTCAACCCTAAAATTCTATGAAGCCAGGCTTCATAAGAACATTTTCTGTTGATTTTGACCACTCTCATTAAGTATTTCAATAGTTTTGACTTTAAAATAACTAGATACTATTAAAATTTCAGTAAGACAAAAACTACGATAGAGATGGGAAATGACAAATTATGTAAAGCATAGGAATTCTTATAAATCCAACAGAAACATGACACCTACTAAAATATAAGAAATCTCAATAAATTCTTTTGCATGTAGATCCTTAGTTCCCATACAAGGTAACATATAATAGGTGCTCAGTAAGAACTGGTTGACCAAATGAATTCAAGCTTACCAACAATCAAAAGCCAGTTGACACATTCATATCTGCAAGGTTTAAAGTAATAATATTCCTATTTGTAGTAAAGACATAGTACCTAAAAACCTGTATTACTTTTCCTGGAAAGCATTAAGTGCCTATATTTTGCCCAATGAGTCTATTTCAATATCTGATAATTTATCCAAAGAAATAATCAGATAGTTATTCAACAATATTTATAAAGAAAATGGGATTTTATTTTTTAATTTAAAAAAATTATTTATTTAATTTTATTTATTCATTCATTCATTTTAATTTGACCAGAGAGAGATACAGAGAGAGAGAGAGAGAGAGAGAGAGAGAAAGTGAGAAAACAAGCCATCAGGTCCAGTACTTGAACTGTGGTCGGCCATGTGGGAATGTCCAACACCTTAACCACCATGCCACCTGCTGGTCCCCAAAAATGGGATTTTAAAAGAGCAAGTATGTAAGAATATAATGAGAGTTTTTTAAAAAAGAGTTATTTAATTCTATTTATTATTATTAGTATTTGGGGAGTTTTTTTATTTTATTTTATTTTATTTTTTGGTATAGGGCGTGTGCCCTTGCCAGAAAGACAGAGAGAGACAGAGAGACAGAAAGAGAGAAATCACCCCCTAGGGGGGATGGTCACACCACAATCCCTTCTCCATTCTCCTCTCGGGATCTTGGGCACACACGCACATGCGCCCCGCATGAGTTTAAGCCACTGGGTCCAGGACTTGAACTGTGGTCGACTATGTGGGAATCCAGTGATGTAGCCATTACGCTATCTACTGGTCCCCTATTTATTATTTTTTAATTTGACCAGACAGAAGGTGAGAGAGAGAGACAGAGAGAGAGGGGGGAGGTAGGGAGGGAGAGAGAACATTTACTAGGTGAAAGAAGTCAGTCACAAAAGCTATATGATTCCATTTATATGCACTGCCTGGACTAGGCAAATCCACAGAGAAAGAAAGGAGACTGACAGCTGCCTAGGGCTGGTGGAGGGGCTCAGAGGGACTGAGTGCTCTTGAGTCTGGGGTTTCTTTTTGGGTGATGAGAATGTTCTAGAATTAGATAGTGGTGATAATTATGTAACTGTAAATACACTAAAACACATCAAATTGTACATGTTAAAAGGATGACTTTTACCAGTGTCATCTGTTACAGACATTTTAAAAAATTCTAGAATCAATATGAAATCTCAAGAGACACTAAGCAGCCCAAACAGTGTTGAGAAAGAACAAAAAAGCTCACACTTCCTGACTTCAAAACCGAACACAGAGTTACAGCAATCAGAACAATGTAATACTGGCATAAAGACAAACATACAGATCAATGGAACAGAATAGAAACTCTGGAAGTTAAGCCTCGCCTAAATGGTCAAATGATCTTCAACAAGGGTATTAAGATCATTCAATGAGGAAAGAAAGGCTTCTTCCACAAATGATGCTGAGAAGACTGGATATTTCACATGTAAGAGAATGAAGTTAGACCTTAACTCAAATGAATCAAATACCTAAATGTAAGATGGCAAACTATAAAACTCCTAGAATAACATGTAAGGGAAAATCTTCACAACAATGGGTCTGACGATGATTATTTGGTTATGAAGCAGAGGCAACAAAAACAAAAACAAGAGACAAATATCATTATATTAAATCTAAAAGGCTTCTGTGCATCAAAAGACAGTCAACTATGGAAAGAGAGAAAATATTTTGTATCATATAAAATCGTGTATCTGCTAAGGGGTCAGTATCTAGAATATATAAAGAACTTCTACAATGCAACAACAAAAACAACATGACAAAAAAACGCTCATAGGACTTAAAGACATATCTTCAAAAATGATGTAAAAATGGCCAACAGGCATTATGAAAAGATGTTCAATATCACTAATCACTAGAGAAATGTAAATCAAAGCCGTAAGTGACATCGCTTCACGCTCATTAGAATGGCTACTAGGAAGAGAACAACAACAACAACAACAAGGCAAAGATGTGGAGAAACTGGAACAGATGTTCACTGATGATAGGACTGTAAAATGGTGCAGCTGCTCTGGAGAATGATATGGAATTTCCCCCCAAAATTAAAAAGAGAACTACCATATGCTCTGGTCATTCTACTGCAGATATATCTGTAAGAGCTGAAAGCAGGGCCCAGAGATATTTTTATGCCCTTGTTCACAGTGCTATTATCCACAATAGCCAAGAAGCAGAACACAAGTGTCTAACAGATACCTGAATAAATAAACTGTGGTATACTGATACACATACAAATGAAATACTACTCAGCCTTAAAAAGGAAGAGGATCCTAGTGTACGCTACAACATAAATGAATCTTGAGGACATCATTCCAACTGAACCAGTCCAGTCACAAGACAAACACCATAGAATTCCACTTGTAGGGGGTACCTAAAATAGTCAAATTCACAGAGACAGAAAATAGAACAGTGTTAGTAGGGACAGGACAAAAGGCGGAATGGAGGAGGAGTTGTTTAACAGGTACAGAGTTCCACTTTTGCCTGGTAAAAAAGTTCTACAGGTCAGTTGGACAACACGTAAATACACTTAACATTACTGAACTGTACGCTTAGAAACGGTGAAGACAGTAAAACAAAAAGTGTAGATATAGACCAGAAATAATATGTAAGACTCTGTTGAAAAATTCTAAATGAATTACAGGTGAAAAAAATCAATTTTTTAAAAGCACGTTCAGATTTTTCTTCTGGTGAAACGTATTACTTTGATATATAAAAAACAAGGCACTTTTTCTATTTGGGGTCGAAAGCGGAAAAGTAATACCTGGGCTGGAGTGTTTGCAGTCACAGGAGATGGCGATTCACTAACTTTTGGCTCAACTGGGGACGCAGCTGACCCCTGTGACTCCTGGCTCGCGGGCTGGTCTGGCGACAAAGCGTCACTGCTGTCTTCGTCAAATGAGAAATCGCCCTGAGTGTGGGGATAGTCTTCCTTCCCAACGCCTAAATAGAGAAATGAGTCTTCACTTATCTTGGCCTTGGAATACCAAGCTTAAGACGAAAAAGGGGAAACGTTGCTTACTATAAGGATCTAAGAAACTGGTTTTAAAATATTGGACATAATGGTGCGACCACTCCCCATGTAGGCTTGGCTGCAGTCTCCCGCCCTCTGCTGGGTCCCCCCACTTCTTCCCTCTTCACAACCCCCCCTCCTGGGAGAGAGGACCGATGGCATGTGAGATCGCTAAGGCTCATCTTTGGGAAGATCATCCGCAAGGAAATCCCCGCCAGAATCATTTTTGAGGATGACCGGTGCCTTGCTTTCCATGCTGTTTCCCCTCTAGCACCAACACATTTTCTGGTGATACCCAAGAAACATTTGTCCCAGAGTTCTGGAGCAGAAGATGATGATGAAAGTCTTCTTGGACACTTAATGGCTGCTGGCATGAAATGTGCTGCTGATCTGGGCCTGAAGAAGGGTGACACAGTGGTGGTGAACGAAGCCTCAGATGGGGGACAATCTGTCTCATGTTCATCTCCATGTTCTAGGGGGTCAGTGCATGAATTGGCTTCCTGGTTAAGCATGTTTTGGGGCAATTTTCACTTTTATGGGCAATAATCAGGTTTGCAAGTTATAGTATCAGCACACTTACTTTTGCCTGTGTATGGAGAGATTGAGGAAGTAATTTGAAAACCCCATACATAATAAAAGACATTGTTGCATGGTTTAAAAAAAAATTGAACATAATGTACTTCCCAGTGAAAGAACCTAACTATGATGTATTCTGGGTGCCGGGGGAAAGGGCAAGACAATCTGAATCAAATAAAGCCTTGGGATCCAACTGCAAGTTACAGGAAGTACAGGGGATGGGAATGTCTTTAGTGACACCTGGGGACACAAATGTAATCAGTAAAATCCAGAATGTAGAACATGATAGAGGACCAAACAAACCTGTCTCATAAACAGGAGATAAGGGGGGAAGGGAACTCACCCAAAAGCGTAAGATTTAAGAGACATATGTGCCCCAGGCAGCTTGTGGGCCCTGTTTGGATCCTGACCCAGAATGTAATTGCTAGAAAACATGAGGCAGTGGGGAAATGGGGCCGTGCCTGGTTATCTGCTGGTAAGTTCCTACTCGGAGGAGGAGCCCAGCTAGACTGATGATCTTCCCTTTCAGGCCCATCCCTTTGGGACGGAAAGGAATCAGCTGATTTTACTAAGAATTCTTCACTAACCCCCTAAACTGTACACTCATACTAATGCAAAATATGAAGCCTCCAGGAATGTTGGAAACTACAATAGTTTTTAAGATAGAATATTAACTTTTCACAATTGCTTGCTAAATAAGTAACATTATTCTTCAAATGACTTTTTTCTAAGGCTTAAGTCAGAAACGAAAAGAAACATATCAGTAACTAAGTATGGTAAGACCAAGATAAAATGGGCAGATACTACCATTCTTTTTTCTTTTTCTTTGATTGTTTTGTTTTGTTTTGTTTTGATATAGGGCACATATATTCACCAGAGAGAGACAGGAAGAGAAAGAGGGAAAGTGAGAAATCACTCCCCAGAGGGGATGGCCATGCTGCAGTCCCTTCTCCTCCAGTCTCCTCTAAGGATTCTACACACACACACACACATGTGCCTGGCATGACTTTCTTTCTTTCTTTCTGCCATAGGCTATGTGCACTCATCAGAGAGAGATAAAGAGACAGTGAGAGGGAACGTGAGAAATCACCTTCCAGGGATGAAGGCCACGCCACAATTCCTTCTCCTCCATTCCCCTCCTGAGATTTTTGAGCACACATGCCTAGCACTTTCAAGCTGCCAAGTCCAGGAATCAAACTGTGGTCCGCCACGTGGGATGCCAGTGCCTTAACCATTATGCCATCTGCTGGCCTCTTGGCGTGATTTTCAAACTGCTAGGTCTGGGACTCGAATTATGCAAGTGGCCATGTGGGATCCAGTGCCCTCACCTCCATGCCACCTGCTGGCTCCCACTCTTAATGTATATGTTAATTTTCACCTGCTAGTCACCTTTGTGAACTAACAATAAACAAATAATTTATTTTTCTTATAAGTATATAGCAATAAAATAATGAAACATTTATAAAAACATTAAACAGAAACTTAAGTTCAACTGAGAAAACATGATAATGAAATCAACATAACTCAAACCTCAGATTAACAAGGGGGGGAACCAGCAGTTAGCGTAATGGCTATGTCGCTGGACTCCCACGTAACCGACCGCAGTTCGTGTCCTGGACCCGGTGGCTTAAAACTCATGCCGGGCGCGTGTGCGTGCGTGTCCAAGATCCCGAGAGGAGAATGGAGGAGAAGGGATCGCAGCGTGACCATCCCCTCTGGGGGGGTGATTTCTCTCTTTCTGTCTCTCTGTCTGTCTCTGTCTGGCGAGCGCACGCGCCCTATAGCAAAAACCTCTCCAAAAAAAAAAAAAAAACCCAACAAGGGGAATTAATGTGTTAACAGGCTGCAGATCTAATCTTCTTACAATCACAATAACAACAATAAATGTTAATCAATTCCTAATTAACCCAGAAAATAATATTCATAATCGGTGCTGGCCTTTTAGTGAAATTCGTTTTTTTCTAAAACTTCCGTGTTTTTCTTTCTCCCAGAAAATAATAAGTGTTTAGTCTTGCCTATAATTGCTTCCTTAACACTGGAGTCTACAGGAAGGATGTTTTTCTCTACCAGCTCCATAGGACCAGGTCTCTGAGCAATCTTTTCATTCAGATCATCAGCTAGTCGAGCTCTTTTCAGCTTCATCTGAGTAGCCTGCAGGGATGGCTCTGCAAATGTTTCTAAAAGAAAAAAACACAGGTTTATACAGTTTTGAATGTTATTTGAATTAGTATTTCTATTCCATAATGTTATTTCAGGTCAATTAACTGAACTTAAACTGGTTTAAACATATTTGTGTGTTCTCAACAAATTTATGGAAGGAGAAAAATGACTGTTTGAGAATGTTCCAGTGCACATTTTGTAATTTTTGGTCCTGGCTAGCTTTACCTTGTCTATATAGTATGGATGGCCACAGATTCAGATGAACATGGCCTTAAGCCAAAAATGGAGCACTGCTATTGTTCACTTTTGGTAGGAGGGTCAAATTCACATTTATTAGAATGGTAGGGATACCAAGGACATACAAGACAGACAGGGTTCATGGCTCAAGAAGTTCATTGTTCTAGAGCTGGCATCACTGGGAAGTCAACTCCTTGAAGGGGAAAATAAGCCTCTTTATATGGGTGGGCATTAAGAACTATAATACAGGGGCCAGCAGATGGTGTGGTGGTTAAGGGTGCTGGACTCCCATAGGGCTGACTGCAGGTCAAGTCCTGGACCTGGCGGCTTCCTTTCTCACTTTCCCTCTCCCTCACTCTCTCTTCATTTCTCTCTCTCTCTCGCATTCTGTCCCTCTCTGGTCAAATTAAAATAAATAAGTGAATAAAGTTAAATAAAATAATTCTAAGAAAAAAAAAAGAACTATAATGCACACTTTTGGGTTAACCCCTGTGAGCACTAGATTCAGTTTATCTCTGTGTATCTCAGGCTGGTCATTGCCAATAATTAAGAATTTGGGTTTATTTCCAAATACATAACTTTGTGTCTGTTAGGAATATTCAATTACGTAGTAATTAATAGTTGTAAAGAAGCATCAACTCATCTACTTACAAATGCATATAGTTGGTACAGGAAATGTGAAACTACTATAAAGATCATCTCATTCATTTGCTTCATTCTGTCAGTTATGTTTCTAGTAATGTTCATTAACATTTTTTCTATTGTCTTAAATAATACTTATGATCAGTAAAAAAAAAAATGATGTGGTATCAACTCAAAATTCCTCTTAAGTTATGCAGTGATAGATTTTTAAAGGAAATTCCCCATAAGCAGTCCTGGGATTAAGTAATGATCCTGTTTCTGCAAGTAGAAGCTTTGGGCTAGCGAGCTTCTTTCCAGCACACCTGTGCACTTTTCTGTTTTCCAGTTGAGTTACACGCTTGCCAGAGGTCAACCTCAACTGTCCACACAGCAGTTCCTTTGTGATGGCTACTGTTAACAAATCATTTATCTAAATGTTATGATAAAACAATAAACTTCAAAAATAAAATGATTATTTCTTGGAAACCTAAGTTAATGCTTTTGAAATACTTGATACAAGTGGATCATTAAGAAAAAAGTCACTGTTGGGATCAGCAGGAGGCATAATGACTGTGTCGCTGGACTCCCATGTAGTCAACTACAGTTCGAGTCCCAGATTCGGTGGCTTACACTCATGCTGGGTACGTTTGCGTGCATGCCCAAGATCCCGAAAGGAGAATGGAGGAGAAGGGATTGTGAGGTAGCTATCCCCCCAGGGGTTGATTTCTCACTTTCTGTCTCTGTCTTTTTGCCGAGCGCACGAGCCCTATAGCAAAAACCTATTAAAAAAAAAGTCACTGTCAAGTTAGTTTGGATAATGAACTATGAAAGATTTTGGAAAAAGATCACGAAATCTTTGCTTTTTAAAATCCAGATTACTTTTCAAGTGTCTCTAAGGTTTTGCTGCACCGTAAATGGAAGCTATAGATAATGCACAATGGTCGTGCTTTGTGTAGTAAAGATGATGGGAGCACAATTCATCAAAACCTTCTCCAGAGAGAAGACCCAGCCCTCGGCTGGAATACTGGCCAGTAAATGTAAGCCTGTAAGAGAAAACAGAATGTGTGCCCATCTCATTTTTATAGTTTTTCTGTATAAACCAACTGTGGCTCCAATCTTACGGGATAAAACCCTCCTAACCATACAGGAAGATGAAGGGTGAGGATAATTAGAACACACAAATTACTCTTAGGCTGATGTTTTCAAGGCCATTGCCATTAAGATCTAGGAAGAAAGGCTCCTGCTTTTCTCCCCTCTCCCATTAAATGCAGTATCCCTCCAAGGGATAGCAGCGATATGTTTGGAAAGAAAATATCCCCAGGGCAAGTAAGTAGAGCCTAGCATTTCAGTATGTTTCTGTTTCTAGTCTTACTACTCTCCCATCTCCATGAAGCTGAGGCGGGATTTTAGCAGCTGAACTTTAGAAAATAATTCAAGAGTCTTGCTTGCCAAATATCCAATCCAACCAAAATTGAAGTAATGTTACGATATAGCTGGGGGGGAACCAGCAGTTAGTGTAATGGCTATGTCGCTGGACTCCCACGTAGTCGACCGCGGTTCACATCCTGGACCCGGTGGTTTAAAACTCACGCCGGGCGCATGTGCGTGCGTGCCCAAGATCCCGAGAGGAGAATGGAGGAGAAGGGATTGCGGCGTGACCATCCCCCCTGGGGGGTGATTTCTCGCTTTCTGTCTCTATGTCTCTCTCTGTCTGGTGAACGCACGCGCCCTATAGTGAAAACCTCTCCAAAAAAAAAAAAAAAAGATATAGCTGGGGAGTGATTTGAAGACACCTCAAAAATTAAATATTACACATTCTTTCTTATTTCAAAGATCTCAACCTTGAGATATCCTAGAATCATCACTTATAGTTCATTCATATACACTGTTAGGTTTTTATGTGTTGGATGATCTTTTTGTAAAAAAGCAAATGTAATTTCCTTTGATAGTTTATTATATTTGCCTTCATTTTAATTATATTAATAAAGGCTGTTACAGTTACAAAGCTAGTGGGAACAGCACTGTTACTACAAAAATGTACCTAATAGGTCAAGACATTTTCAGGCACAGGAAACCATTTACCTGTTTACTTACCAGTAAACTTGCTTCTTTGAAGATTCACTTATCCCTGACAGCTGGTAGCTGCTCTACTCTACTACTGGGGTTCTGGAAAAGCTTTTTTAGTCCAGTGTACGTCTAAGAACACAACCCAAAGTGGAGAAAGGCACATACCTCTTACCTCTTGTCCCCGGAATGAGGACGACGGGCATATAATTACGACCATAGAGACTAACTAGATACTCGGAATCTCTTTATAATGTCCTTAATGTGGTGCGTCAGCCTGTGTCCACTATGGCATGTTTACTCCCCGAGTACCTTTCACGATGTGTAATTCACTTGTTTTGCTGTTCATTCTCTGTCTCTGCCAGTAGAACGAGAGTCCTATGAAGGCAAGCATAAACTGTCTTGCTCACGGAGTGGGTCTCTAGCACACTGACCAATGAATAGCCTCTAACAACAGTAGCCAGCTCAACTCTGGAAGATTTCATTTTTGGGCACGTCCAAACTTTAGGGTGTTATTTCCTAGGTTGAGATACAATCTAATACTTGGTAACCTCACCCTAATATTGTACAAACTCTAATCCTAATTCTATCGCTAGACTCAGAATCTTCGTTCTACTTAAAAATAGACTATACTGTATGAGAAGTTTTTAGGTTATTTCTGTGTCTTTTTAAGGCCTACCATACATGAGAATATCACAGAATCAAGCTCCTGGTCTTGCTCAATTAGAGAAGAAAAACAACCAGAGAAAATGCAATTTAGAAGATTACATCGGTAGAGAACTCTGTGTCTTTAGAGGGGAAAACCTGGCCTGGGCCTTGGCACTGTCCCTACTGGCCTTGCAAGTGATGAGGCTAGCTGACTGAGACCATTTGGTATAGCAGTCGGATCCAGTTGGACTGTGTAGGTGAGTGGGGACAGAGAAAAAATGCAGGGTGTGGGCGCTGCACTGGGCAACAAGCATACGAAACCCTAGAGGTAGACTGGCTATCGTACCCCTTACAACTTGATGAGTGGGATACATCACTGATTGATAAAGAAATCCTCTGGACCAAAAATGTTTTTCCAGAACAGTACGGTAGAGGGGCCTATGGTACCAGCTGGTGGGGAAGAGTCAGTCCATCAATTGGGTATTTGGAGAATCAAACCTTCCCCATGTATCTAACATAACATTTTAGCTTTGGGTCTTCATGCTGCTATCCAAATTGGAGGATGTCAGCCTGTGGGGTAAAAAGTTATTAAAATGGGAATAAAATAAATGATGAAATTCTCACTTTTCTTGAGAAAATGCAATAAAGTAAGCAGAAATATCATTTTTACCTTCTAAAATGTGCATCCTGACAAGTTCAGAACGATCCGGTCGACTCCGAATCTTGTGTTTCAAAAAGTTTTCAGTCTTTAAGAAAAAAAAAAAGAAAATCTTACAGTAGTTTCATTTTTTTAGGCATTTCACTTAAATAAATCATATATTCTTTTGTCATGTCTTTGGGAGGAAGGAAAGAGCATAAATTAGCACACAGAGGAAGCTATGAACTAATACATGATTTAAACTTTAGCCTTTAAAATCTCACAGACTTGAAGTGTATGTTGGTATAAAATAAGCACTTTATTGACTTGTTTTAAAACTTGGTAAAGTCAAAAGCTTATGATTCTAAAGATGATTTCTGAATAATTTAAATATTTAAAATCAATACTTTGGGTCAAGTAAAAATTAATCTAGATTTTCCTAAAAATCATAATTTTTAAAAATGAGCCCATCTCCTTGATCATATTTTCTTAATAATACATTATACTCCACTCTTAACACATTAAAGAAAATGGGCTTTATATTTTATGAGACTCTAAGAGAATATTATTATTATTTTAAGAGAGATTTTTGCTATAGGGCGTGTGTGAGACAAAGATAAAAGAGAGAAAGCGAGAAATCACCCCCCAGGGGGAAATGGCCATGCCACAATCCCTTCTCCTCCTTCCTCCTCTCAGGATCTTGGGCATGCATGCATGCACACCCGGTGTGAGTTTTAAGCTGCCAGGTCTGGGACTCAAACCACAGTCGATCATATGGGAGTCCAGCAACATAACCATTACGTCATTTTCTGCACTAAGAGATATTGCTGCACTGTGGGAAAACTCTTTAAAACTTTTAGAGTATGTTTCTTTTCATACTGCATGATAGAAGTTTTCCTGAAAACAAAACAGTAAGGGTGAACGTGCATAATGGTACTTTTAAAGAAAAATAACAATGGATGTGTAACTACAATGGTGCTGTCAATAAAGGAGAATTGAATGCAGCAGTGTTCTATGATTTGATCAAATCTGGAGGGGACACGGACCAGGGGTGAAACCACGTCAGTATCTCATGTCTGTCACCTCCTGGCTGTCCCTCTGTAGGGGTAATGAATGGCACTTACTGCCGTATTACGCTTCTAAGAACTGTTGTTATGTTCTTCAAGCAGCACAGTGAAGACATGTGATTTGTCCTTTATGCACAAAATTAGTTACTGGCTTTATTGTTTGTTTTTGTTTTTGCTATGGGGCATGTGCACTCATAGGAGAGAGACAGAGAGAGAGAGAGAGAGAAAGAGAGGAAGAGAGAGAGAAGGAAAGTGAGAAATCATCCCTCGGAGGATGGCCACATGGCAATTGCTTTTCTTCCATTTTCCTCTTGGGATTTTGGGGAAGCACACACATGCGCCTGGTGTGATTTTTCAAGCTACCAACTCTGGGACTTGAATCACAGAGTAGGCTATCTGGGATCCAGCGACTTAACCTCCATGCCACCTGCTGGCCCCACCAGTTACTAGTTTTAAAAGAACAAAATTTGAATGCCATATATTTTCTATAAAACTCCAAGATCAAACTACCTTTTTATATTTTATGAGACTAAATAAGACTAAATAAGAATAAATACTGTCTGTGCCTGTATTCACTATATTTTCTCAATTGACGTAGTTAGGGGTAGGATTGCTACTAGTTCACAGATACAGTAGGATAACAGGGAGAGAGTTTTAAGCTGCCAGGTCTGGGACTCAAACCACAGTCGATCATATGGGAGTCCAGCAACATAACCATTACGTCATTTTCTGCACTAAGAGATATTGCTGCACTGTGGGAAAACTCTTTAAAACTTTTAGAGTATGTTTCTTTTCATACTGCATGATAGAAGTTTTCCTGAAAACAAAACAGTAAGGGTGAACGTGCATAATGGTACTTTTAAAGAAAAATAACAATGGATGTGTAACTACAATGGTGCTGTCAATAAAGGAGAATTGAATGCAGCAGTGTTCTATGATTTGATCAAATCTGGAGGGGACACGGACCAGGGGTGAAACCACGTCAGTATCTCATGTCTGTCACCTCCTGGCTGTCCCTCTGTAGGGGTAATGAATGGCACTTACTGCCGTATTACGCTTCTAAGAACTGTTGTTATGTTCTTCAAGCAGCACAGTGAAGACATGTGATTTGTCCTTTATGCACAAAATTAGTTACTGGCTTTATTGTTTGTTTTTGTTTTTGCTATGGGGCATGTGCACTCATAGGAGAGAGACAGAGAGAGAGAGAGAGAGAAAGAGAGGAAGAGAGAGAGAAGGAAAGTGAGAAATCATCCCTCGGAGGATGGCCACATGGCAATTGCTTTTCTTCCATTTTCCTCTTGGGATTTTGGGGAAGCACACACATGCGCCTGGTGTGATTTTTCAAGCTACCAACTCTGGGACTTGAATCACAGAGTAGGCTATCTGGGATCCAGCGACTTAACCTCCATGCCACCTGCTGGCCCCACCAGTTACTAGTTTTAAAAGAACAAAATTTGAATGCCATATATTTTCTATAAAACTCCAAGATCAAACTACCTTTTTATATTTTATGAGACTAAATAAGACTAAATAAGAATAAATACTGTCTGTGCCTGTATTCACTATATTTTCTCAATTGACGTAGTTAGGGGTAGGATTGCTACTAGTTCACAGATACAGTAGGATAACAGGGAGAAAGAGAGAAGAACATTTAAAAGTGAAGTTTCTTACCCTGGCTCGTTCCAAGCTCTTTATCTGCTCATGGAATGCCGCTGGGCTCTTCAAAGCTGTGGGGGGAAAAGAAATATTTTCTGCAGTAGAAACAGCGGAGTTCATACTTCATTCCAAAATTACAGTCTATCACGTTGATAATCCTATTAGTTCATGTCTACAGTTCCATTTACTTACTAGTTCAGTTTAAGAGATCGATGGAACTTGAAAACTTAATTATGAAGAATTAAAATTATGTATCTCAAAAATAAAACCAGTGAACATTTAGAAGAGTTGTATACATGATGACAATGCAAATATCAAGTTAGACGAATTCCGACTACTAACCAGGGTAAATTTTCATCCCTGAGGAGAACTGTCTGGGGACTCCCTGACAGGGCTGTCTTTTGATGACCATCTAAGCTACTAGAAAAAGCCTGAACATCCTTAGGAGTGATCTCACCTTGAACATGAAGACATACTACACTCCATGGCCACCAAATCTAAGGTACCATTTATTCAGAACCCACATGGTTTAGCTCTGCGGTCAAGCACAGTTGTGAAGCCCTCGCGAGGTAGCATTAGCCTCAGTGCAGACGAAAGGTTCCAAGAGGCTAAGAGTATTTCCGAGGTCTTACAGCTACATGAGGGTCAGAACAGGACTTCAGTCTGAGATTCTGAATATGCACTGCTCATGCTTTTTGTTCTTTACTTTATTACAGTGTAATTGACTCTAAAGACATAAGGACTCTAATATGCTAACTGCCTGTATATTAAACATTCTATAGACTGTCAGTGTGAGGGCAAGCAGTGTTTACCAAAATATCACCTACTATAGCATTTTTATCAATTATCTTTGTAAAATCTTTGTTTCCTTTTAAGGCCAGAGGGTGCAAGAGAGAGAGAGAAAACCCAAAGCACAGGGACTGGTCAAGCCATATTCCTTTATCTCCATTCCTCCATCCTGTCAGGGTTCTGGGCCTGAGTGCCCAGTGGGTTGCTACTGAGGCCAAGATTCAAACTGTGGTCAGCCATGTCAGATCTGGTCTCCTCTGCACAGCACTGAATCACTGGCCGTGCGAAACCCTTTGTGTATATGTCCACCATGCCTGATAACACACTGTACTTACAATTACGGGTAATCGGGTAAGTGGCTGGGATAGGGGACAAAGATTTTTGTACATGTCCACAAAGCCTAACACACACTGTACTTACGATTATGGGTAATCACACACGTGGCTGGGATATGAGACAAAGATTCCTTGGGCTGCCACCTCTAAGACTTGACGAATCAGCCTTTGGAGCATTATTTTCAGCTCTGGTACTTGAAGCACTATAGAAACTCCCAGGGGCCTGGCCCAGTCCGGTCTGGCTAAGGACCAGGTCCTGAAAGCAGATTAGCGCTGACTGAACAGTGGTATCTTAAACAACGTAATTCGATCTTGTTTGGCTGATTGGTTCAGTCAGAAATGTGGCACTGCAGACACTAGATTTAAAGACTGTATATACTCAGTCAAGAGCAGTCCAAAAAAAAAGTTTATTGGGAAGAATATCTATGACAGAAAAGAAAGCATTCCTCACCATAAACTAAGGAACAGTCTAGGGGCTAGCATTGACTCAGAGGACTGGGAAGCATATTGTCATTTCTTTCTAGCGCTTTAAAGCTGAAAAATGTTACATAATAGAAAAGTCCATTTTTAGACAGAATTTGGACACATAATCCTAATAGCCTATACATAATAACCATTCTCCTCCTTCCTCTAAAATATAAAATCAATTCCAAACTTGGTGACAAGAGGTAAAGAGGACAACTTGGACAAATACTCTAAAATTATTCAACTCTCAGAAATTTCTTAAAGGAATAAGCCCTAGGAGACTTGGGAAATACCTGAACTTGGGCCAGGAAGATGTTATTAATTATAACTAGACCGTTATATTAATATGTAAGCGAGATAACACTTAACTATATACAGTAGTATAGCACCAAAGATAATTCATTTCAAGTGAATACATTTCAAGTAGAGGAAGTTTATGAATTAATTTTATCATGTTACTTTTATATAACAAATCTCCACTCCAATAGCAAATGATTACTTCAAGTCGTTTAAAAACTAAAGCGAATATTAAAATTTGAAGTAAGAGTGGACACGAGTCTCATTTTAAAGGTACCCTTGGTATAAAATTCAAGTCCATCTTTTAAGATGCATTTGCTTCTTGAAATGTTTTCCCCATGAGTCCCTTAAGCTGGCAATGCTGATGCCGGGTTTTTCTTTATGAATTCATTTGGCAGCTGTGCGTTGATTAAATGGATACAACTGAAAGCAGGGTTCTTCTGGGACAGGCCCATGTGGGCACATCAGGCTCAGACGACAGTGACGCTGTAATGCTTACGTGGCATGATGCCCTGGTCCACTAGCTGTTCTCTCGTCCTGCGCTGCTGCAGCCTCAGCTGGAGCACTGTGAAAAGGAAAGAATCCCCGTTGGAGTTTGTCGGCAACTGTGGACTCCAGCTTATGCAATTTCAGAAGAGATACAATGAAGCTTTATTAAGTATACTCTATTTCAATTGAACAAGAAAGATATTACCTGCACCATCTACCTTGGAAAAAAAATTATTTTGTGATTTCTGCCGATTTGGTGAACTCTGAAGTTTACCTGGCGTATTTTTTGTTTCGTTATTATTAATTTGATGACTAAAGTTAAGTATTTCTCGTTTAAAAACCACACGATACTTAGTGAATAAAGAGAGGTAGTTGACTTATACATTAAGACTTGTTATTAAATCTCATTCACTGAAGTAGAAATGTGAGATTCCTTGACATTCCCTAGTTATTTAAAAAAAAAAATAAGTACATAGCAAAAACTTATATTAAGGAAAAGATAGGCTTATTTAGAGAGACTTGCCCTAGGGTGTGTGTGCTCACTGGAGACAGAAAGAAGGAAAGTAAGAAATCATCCCTCAAAAAGATTTTTATGCTGCAATCCCTTCTCTTCCATTCTCCTCTCAGAATTCTGGGCACACACACAAGCCCAGCGTGATTTTCAGGTTGACAGGTCTGAGACTCGAACCGTGGTCAGTCATGTGGGATGACAGTGCCTGAACTACTATGCTACCCGCTGCCCCCAGAAACCAATTTAAAATAGCTTTAATGATGCCAAACCTCTTTTTTATTTTAAAAGAGATTTTTGTTATAGGGTGCGTGTACTTGCCGGAGAGACAGAGAGACAGAAAGCAAGAAATCACTTCCCAAGGTGGATGGCCATGCCACAATCCCTTCTCCTCCATTCTTGTCCTGAGATTTTGGGCAGGCATGCTCATACACACTGTGCCCAGTGTGAGTTTGAAGTCACCAGGTCCGGGACTTGAACCATGGTTAACGATGTGGGAGTCCAGCGATGTAATCATTATACCATCTGCAGGTCCCAAGCCTAACTTCTTAACAAAATTTAGGACTATGAGATATTATTGATGAACCAAAAGGAAATTTCTAAATTAGAAATTTCAGGTTTAATAATCTTTGCACAAACATAACACCGTTTCTCAATCTGCAAGTTCTAAGACAGTCACAAATCAATTGACTCCTAATTATTTTAATGCAAATAACAAATGATAAGAACTGATAGAGAACAAGGTATACATCACGCAGTGTGGACATCCAGTTTGACAGATTTCACAGACATTTTTTTGGGAGAGAGACTTTTGGTATAGAGTGTGTGCTCGTGCTGGAGAGACAGCATGAGAGACAGAAAGTGAGAAATCACCCCCAGGGGGGATGGCCATGCTGCAATCCCTTCTCCTCCATTCTCCTCTCAGGATCTTGGGCATGCATGCACACGTCCCTGGTGTCAGTTTTAAGCCTCCAGGTCTGGGACTCGAACTGTAGCTGACTACACGGGAGTCCAAAGATGTAAGCAACATGCCATCTGCTGGTCCCAAATCAACAGATTTTTTTTTTTCCCTCTTAGATTTCTCAAGCAGATTCCTTTTACAGCATCTACACATTTTTATCTGGAAAATGAGCCTATTTTTAAAAAAGAGGAATATATGAAGCAACTTAAATATTTTTGTGTGCCTTACATTCAATTTTAAGATTCCATTTTGAATTTTTTTCAAACCATGGATGAACACCAAAGTTAGGTGATAAATGGTCTGTGTAAAGAATTGTCGATATGCTAAAAAATAAAAAAAAAACATCGCCTACACTTTCTTTTTTTTTTTTTTTTGGAGAGGTTTTTGCTATAGGGTGTGTGTGCTCGCCAGACAAACAGAGAGAGACAGAGAAACAGAAAGCAAGAAATCACCCCCCAGGGGAGATGGCCACACCACAATCCCTTCTCTTCCATTCTCCTCCTGGGATCTTGGGCGCGCACACACACATGCCCGGCGTGAGTTTAAGCCACTGGGTCCGGGACTCAAACCATGGTTGACTACGTGGGAGTCCAGCGACATAGCCATTTCGCTAACTGCTGGTCCCACCTACACTTATCTCTTAAATGGTGGGCGAGCAGACAGAATTCCTTAGTCAGGGTGACAGCTAGGCCCGGAGGCTTCCATTTTGAATTTTTTTCAAACCATGGATGAACACCAAAGTTAGGTGATAAATGGTCTGTGTAAAGAATTGTCGATATGCTAAAAAATAAAAAAAAAACATCGCCTACACTTTCTTTTTTTTTTTTTTTGGAGAGGTTTTTGCTATAGGGTGTGTGTGCTCGCCAGACAAACAGAGAGAGACAGAGAAACAGAAAGCAAGAAATCACCCCCCAGGGGAGATGGCCACACCACAATCCCTTCTCTTCCATTCTCCTCCTGGGATCTTGGGCGCGCACACACACATGCCCGGCGTGAGTTTAAGCCACTGGGTCCGGGACTCAAACCATGGTTGACTACGTGGGAGTCCAGCGACATAGCCATTTCGCTAACTGCTGGTCCCACCTACACTTATCTCTTAAATGGTGGGCGAGCAGACAGAATTCCTTAGTCAGGGTGACAGCTAGGCCCGGAGGCTGGCTGGCCCAGGCTCTTCCTAAGGCCCTGATGCAGGCAGGTGGCGTCTCACACTCTAGAACAGCCCGAGGCCTGACAACGCAGGGACTGTGCCCTTTTATCCCTCATTTTCCCCTTGACCTTGTGCTGACTGCAGAGCACAACTGTATCTTAGATACGTTTCAAAATGAGTCTAAATTAAAAAATGACTTTAAAATATTTTCTTATCATTGCTACACCTGAATTCCATCCTTTACTAAATACAGAAATATGTTTTTTGGTTTTTGTCTGTTTGGGGACATAAGATCACAAAGTTCCATATCCCAGTTCGATCAGAAGCAACTGACATAAGATTCTGTTATGCAGAGTGAAAGAAAAATTAATGAGTTAAGAAAAATACACGCACGTTTCTGACATGAGAATGTTTTGTGATCCTTTGAATCAATTGTGTCCAACACAAAGATCCTTTCCCTGATACTTACGGCTTACTGGGGACAGCGTGTTCCCACTGGGTGTCACTAGGAATGAAAGCCACCCAGGAGCGACCCGGGGACCTGAGGGCACCCAGACCCTGTGCACTCTAACGTACTTCTGTGAATGCTGGGCTGATGCTTCTCTGCATGTCAGGTAGACATTCCCGTGAAGCAGAAACCCAGAAAGGAAACTTAGAGGAGGAAAGGATTAGAACAATAGTTCAAAGGTGGGCACCTCTGGGACATGATGGTCCTCATCTGTGGGAGAATCCTCAAAGGAAGGAGTAATAATAATGCAAATATTAACAGTTCCTGTTTTTGGTTTCAAACAAATAAAACAAAAAAGCACCATACTTGCGAGACAACTGTATCAAACACAATGCATACTTTCGGGAGAATGGCGTCACTGAATGATGCATGCACTGACAACGACTCGATTTGCAAATCACCAGCTCACCAGTTCTGGGGCGTCTCCTGACTGCAGGTTGGGCATGCTGGCATCCTCAGGCACCAGGACCGCAGCCTTGTCAGCCACACCATCTTTGACTGGCAATCACATTTTCATGCACAAAATGGATGTATGTCACTCTGACCTGTTTCCAACTCCTAACACCACTGACACCCAAATGTGTGGGTTTGTCCCTCACACCTACCAATTCTCCAACCCTTTGGACTCTGCCTTGGTGTTCAACAATTCGATTCAGTGCAACTCTGACACCATGTACCTTGAGTTACCGTCAGCTAAAGGCCTCCATCCTACAAGACTGCCCTCATCTCGGATGCCGACTGCTAGCCTAGGCCCCCACACTTCTGACCCACAGCCCCCTCCTCAGGTTTGACAATTCTCTAGAACGGCTCACTGAACTCACGAAGGCACATTATTTACTACAAACAGGTACAACTCAGGCACAGCCCAGTGGAAGAAACCCACAGGGCAGGGTATGCAGAAGGAGATGAGAACTCCCGTGCCCTCTGATCCTGTGGCCCTGTTGGTGGCCCAACCTGAAGCTATCTAGGGGCCCCCAGTTACATTTCATCTCCTAAGCATACAAAAAACACTCACTCTGGAGATTCCAAGGGTCTTAGAAAGAAGCTCTGTGTCAGGAACTGGGGACTAAGACCAATCTTCATTCATTCAAAAAAAAAAAAGAGGCAAAAACCTCTATCAAAAAAAAAGAATTATTCATTTAACTTTATTGCTATTATTTTAATTTTACTATAGGGTATGTGCGTTCACCAGAGAGCTCTTATCATCTCTTAAAAGGATTTTAAGATAATCTGTGCCAGGAACTGGGGACAAAGACCAAATATACATTTCTTTTTCTTTTTTAAAATTTATTTAGGGACCAGCACACGGCATAATGGTTATATCACTGGATTCTCACATGGTTGCCCACAGTTAGAGTCCCAGACTCTGTAGCTTGAAACTCACACCAGGCACATGTGCGTTATGTGCCCAAAATCCTGAGAGGAAAACAGAGGAGAAGGGATTGTGATATGGCCATTCCGGGTGTGTTTGTATGTGTGTGTGTGTGTGTGCATGTGTGTGCGTGCGTGTGTGTGTGCATGATTTCTTGTTTTCTGTCTATCTTTCCTGTGAGCGCATATGCTCTATAGCAAAAATCTCTCTAAAAAAGGAATTATTTGGACCAGTCGATGGCGCAGTGGTTAGGTCATTGGACTCCCACATGGCTGATCTTAGCTCCAGTTCTGGTCCTGGTAGCTTGAAACTCATAGTGGATGAACGTGTGTGTGTGTGTGTGTGTGTGTGTGTGTGTGTATGTGTGTGTGTGTGTGTGTGTGTGTGTGTGTGTGTCCAAGATCCCGGGAGGAGGAGGAGGAGAAGGGATTACGGTGTGGCCATCTCCCCTTGGGGGTGATGTCTCACTTTCCCTCTCACTGTCTCTGCCTCTTTCGCTCTGGTGAACACATGTGCCCTAAGGTAAAAACCTCTACGAAAAAAACCCCAAAAAACGTGAGCCAGCAGGTGGCATAATGGT